GAAGAGTGTGAAGACTGTGCTGTGTGTGAAGACTGTGCCGTGTGTGAAGACTGTGCCGTGTGTGAAGACTGTGCCGTGTGTGAAGACTGTGCCGTGTGTGAAGACTGTGCCGTGTGTGAAGAGTGTGAAGACTGTGCCGTGTGTGAAGACTGTGCCGTGTGTGAAGACTGTGCCGTGTGTGAAGACTGTGCCGTGTGTGAAGACTGTGAAGACTGTGCCGTGTGTGAAGACTGTGCCGTGTGTGAAGACTGTGCCGTGTGTGAAGACTGTGCCGTGTGTGAAGACTGTGCCGTGTGTGAAGACTGTGCCGTGTGTGAAGACTGTGCCGTGTGTGAATGAAAAATGACTGGACTATATTGGAGTCTTTCATATTATAATACTTTTGGGCAATGAAAGATTATTTATAGCTTTTCTTGTTCTGTCCTCAGTTGCTGCCTCATTAAACAGCTGTGCTATACATTTAAAAGAAATTTCTTTTAAATGTATATTATATATAAATATACTTTTTTTTAATTAATGTATTTTACAACAATACAAAGAGCAATGTGTACCATTTTAACACATTTAGTGCTACACTTATTCACTTATTTGTTTTCCCACTAAATGTTTTTTCACTAAACGTTCAGATTATTGTGCACTCATGATTTTTCTTGAGTAACTTTTGCTGCTGAACTTTCCACTAATCTAGTTTATAATAGTATTTTGTCATAGATTATGATTATATAATTTTTTCATTTTGTTGGTTTTCTTTATAATGATGTTTAACACACAAAATAATGATTATCAGTTCAACACACAGAGGTATAGAAATACTACACTGAATGAAAAAGAACTGCTGATATCGGATCAGCATCGGCAGGTACTCAGAGTGCATCCCTAGCTCATGCTCCCCTGACGCTTGCGTTGTGAAACTGTTTAAATCAAAGACTTTAGGGAGAGAGCTGCTGCCATGTGACGTACAGTAGCCTATGGAGCCGCACTTCACAAACAGTCTTTAACCACACATTATCATTATTTATGTGTTACAAACATTTAAATGACAGGGGATAAGAGTGTACTATTATAAAACGTTATAGCTTGGGTATTTAAACACTGATGTCTACGGTAGAGATCAAAATAAGAGAAATTCATCTTTTGAAAATATTTTGACACGTGTAGGCCTATGTATTGAATTGCTTTACGCTAAGAGGTGGCGATGAGTGTTTGTCCTTGAATCATTCATTTGAAAGATTTATTTACCAACGCTGATTCACCCAATAACGATACGTCTTTATAAATGAGACATTGACACCATTCAATTTTTTTATTTTATTATTTCATTCAAATTATTATTATTTTTTTTTAATAGACTAAAGCACTAAACATTTTGTCAGAAGTTTGCATGTTATTTTGTTTGATTGTCTAATGTTTTTTTCTTCAGAATTGTGGTTCTCAATTTATCCAGAATCGTGCATTCTTTGTGTTCTTTGTGAATAATTTTCGGAGCCTGATGAAGTCGGTATAAATATGTGTTTAATACTACAAAATATGCCCGATGTTACAGTCACTGCACTTGCCGCCCAGAACACAAGAGAACATCCCAATCGAGTGAAGAGATTTGTGGAAACTGAAATGGAAGCACATCTTACCTAATTCAGACTAAAACATCTATTTAGCCTCACATACTGACTTTATTTGTAGTTCATACTGTTTTAATACCCTGTATTTTCTTTCTCATTTTTAGGAAAAGCACTTAATTACCATTGTTTATTTCTATACCAAATGTCCTACACTTGCAATAAAGCTAAAAATATAAACAACTACATCATTATGTTGATATCCTATATTTTTACAATAAAACTTACGACAAACATGTCTTCTAATATCCTCAGTTGTTGCGTATACCGAGCTGCATCGAACACATTTGTAAAATACTTTTTGAACCCATTGTGCGAGTTCACTTTAATACCGTGTGCTTTATATACATGTTGCTGCTGATTGGACTGCAGTTCTGACACACCCACCAAACAAGAGAAAACGTATCTCAAACCCCGGTGCACACCGGTGCACGCCGTTTCCAGGAAACATGACGTTCAACCCGGAAACCGTAGCAAAACATTGCGCACCGTTTTGAACTTGAACGTGCCCCTGACCAATCAGAGCAGAGTAGACCAATCACAACATACTGGGTCATCTGACCAATCAGAGCAGAGTAGACCAATCACAACATACTGGGTCATCTGACCAATCAGAGCAGAGTAGACCAATCACAACATACTGGGTCATCTGACCAATCAGAGAAGAGTAGACCAATCACAAGAGACTGGGTCATCGGACCAATCAGAGCAGAGTAGACCAATCACAACATACTGGGTCATCTGACCAATCAGAGCAGAGTAGACCAATCACAACATACTGGGTCATCTGACCAATCAGAGCAGAGTAGACCAATCACAAGAGACTGGGTCTTCTGACCAATCAGAGCAGAGTAGACCAATCACAACAGACTGGGTCATCTGACCAATCAGAGCAGAGTAGACCAATCACAACAGACTGGGTCATCTGACCAATCAGAGCAGAGTAGACCAATCACAAGAGACTGGGTCTTCTGACCAATCAGAGCAGAGTAGACCAATCACAACAGACTGGGTCATCTGACCAATCAGAGCAGAGTAGACCAATCACAAGAGACTGGGTCTTCTGACCAATCAGAGCAGAGTAGACCAATCACAACAGACTGGGTCATCTGACCAATCAGAGCAGAGTAGACCAATCACAAGAGACTGGGTCTTCTGACCAATCAGAGCAGAGTAGACCAATCACAACAGACTGGGTCATCGACCAATCAGAGCAGAGTAGACCAATCACAACAGACTGGGACATCTGACCAATCAGAGAAGAGTAGACCAATCACATCTGACCAATCAGAGCAGAGTAGACCAATCACAACAGACTGGGTCATCTGACCAATCAGAGCAGAGTAGACCAATCACAACAGACTGGGTCATCTGACCAATCAGAGCAGAGTAGACCAATCACAACAGACTGGGTCATCTGACCAATCAGAGCAGAGTAGACCAATCACAACAGAGTAGTCTCGTGGAAAGGAGGGATTTAGAGAGAGTGAATCTTTGAATTAACAGTTTTCAGAAATCTATGTTGTTTTCTTCCCTTTTATGCATGTAAATTTATTGTCAGTGATCTCCTAAACAAAATTAGGAGCCTTTAATTAAAATAGCACAAGGCGTGAAACTGTGTGAGGCCATGGGGTTTACAACGGCTGCCAGAATCACAGTGTTATTATTATATCAGTGATCAGTATCTTCCTTAAATTTCCTGATTGGTGCAATTACTATTATTGACAATTATTATGTCCAAACTCATCTGTGATGTGCATGATAATGTGTGTTTGTTTGGATCACACATGAGCTTGGTAGGAGAATTTTAGAATAACGACTCATGGCATGTCAGCAGTTAACAACTGCAGTTCTGCGAGTCATATGTTACGCCACTTCTTTGCACATGCTCAGTCTTTGCACGTTTTTGAGCCTTGCCAATTTAAACATTCAAGCGCAAGACGCGAAAGAGAACTCGCTCGCGCTGTGTGAGAAGTTGTGTGTGCGTGAACTGCACATCCGAAGCCAAGCAAGTGAATACTGAGTTCAGCCGTCTTTCACGTCTTATTGCGCTTGAACCCACAATTTCACACAAAATTATATCAAATGGTCCATCTTGGCTAGTATCCTAGTAAACATAGTCCGTTATGTCTTAAGTGAACGTAAACAGTGGAGAAAGAAAAGTGTGTATCAGTTATCATAAACAGTATCAGTATATTGGACCTGTGCATCGCTCTTAAAGGGACAGCAGCCTAATATTCCTGCTTCTGTGTTTACTGTTCAAACAACTGACTCGCTGCAACAAACACAATGCTCTCGGCTGAATAACTTTTGTAACTTTAATGAGTATTCAGCTATATTTAATTTATACAGTGAAGACAATGCCGTGTTATTTTACATTTGATTAGGCTACTCTATTCAATTCCTGTACCTCATCTGTACTGTTAGATTTACCCGTAAAACCCGAAAAGCACTGTTTATTTCATTTGCATCTTTGCTCTATTGTGTTTATTTGTTCTTAGTTTATTACAGACTGTTTACTCGACTTTAATAGTGCATGAAGTTTATATTTTATATATTTATGTCAATTGTTTATGTGCATTGTTCTGGCATTCCATGTAAAAAAATCTGGTGAGTAAAATAAAAAATGTACTAGCCAATGGCGACTCGAGCTTCAGTGTGTCTGTAGTGGGTTGATTTTTGTTTAAATATATGTTTATTGGTAATAGGCCTATACCCTAAAGTGTGATATACAGTATAACAGTTATATAACATAATAAATAACTATATAGAATAGTTTACTCAAAAGGACTTAAATGTAAAAAATAATTAGACTACTTGAAATCACTACGATTAAAATGTTTGCAAAGAATCTTTGCTTGAATAAAACTGTTTGAAAATCTTTAAATGCATGAATGAAAGTTTAGAATGTGTGAACAGAATATTCAAGTTTTAAAATGATTGCACATAAATCTTTGTAGGGTCAAAACAGAATATGAATGAAAACAGAATGACTGGTAAGTTTAAATAAATTCCTCCATCCTATTAACTTCTAAAGTAAAATATTCATAAAACAGAAAGATATGTAGTGTTCCCCACTGTTCCCCAGTGACATACGGGTGTGGCAGAGCAACCTGTTACCTGAGGGAGGGTGTGTGTATACACACACACACGCACACACACACACACACACAGAGAGAGATATGTTATGTTACAGTATATCTTATATTATGGGCTGATGGACAGGATCTCCATGTATCCTGTCATGAATTACTGCTCTGCACACTAACGCGCCTGTGCTGCACAGTGCAGATGTCTATGTAGAGAGCTCACTACAACTAACACACAGACTGGGTGTCTTCAGTCCCAGTAACGGGGAAAGAGAAAGAAAGCGGGCCAGCGCACCTCTCTTTTCTCTGCTCTTCCGGGGGATGTGGAAGTTCAGTCGCGGCTGCTCTTCGGCTGGTTTCGCGGCCCGTGAGACTCTCTTGAGCCGCTTCTCTTCATCGGGACCGTCCGGGCATCCACACTCTTCCTCCGGGCCGCCATTTTGGCTCCATGAAGGCGCAGCAGGATCGTGCTTCTCTTTGTCGCTGGTTTTGCCTCCTCGATGCTCCATGGCTGCTTTATTCACGAGCTCCAGACATGAGTGTGTTCTCCTCGCAGCGCTGAAAGCTGGAGGCAGTGCGGTGTTTCTGTCTGCTGAATGTGCCTCACAACACACATAAACACACACGCATGTACATGCCCACTCATAGCCGCAATGTGTGTGTGAGTGTGACCGGATCGCAGCAGCGCCGCCCAGCGGGCTCCATCTTCATTTAAATAAGAACAAAACATACATTAGCATAGCATACAGGAGTGCATGTTATGGGTAAACGAAAGCGAGAGAAGAAAGGAAGAGAAAGAAAGAAAGAAAGAAAGAAAGAAAGAAAGAAAGAAAGAAAGAAAGAAAGAAAGAAAGAAAGAAAGAAAGAAAGAAAGAAAGAAAGAAAGAAAGGCATTTTACAAAAAAGCTTTTACTCATTAAACAGCTGTGTAGTTTTTACTTTTGATATAGTTTCTAAATATATTTTAACATCAATTTTAAATTGTATAAAATCATTTCATTTGACTTCATGTATAGTCCAGTCATTTTATGAAAAAAGGTTGAACAAATTGCAACAGAAGCAAACTCAACTTATTTTGTATCCTCAATATGTCCTGAGTAAGGGGGAAAAGCCCCGAAGAATCCCATTAGAGAAAAGTTTAGAAAAAGGCCCAAATATAGGCTACTCTATTCATACGCCTATTCATTCTGTTTCTCACGTGAAAAGGGTAAACATTTTAACCTTTAGATATCTCCATGAAAATTACTGAGCTGATTACTTACATCAAGACACAAAAAATGTATTACAAGTTTTTTGAAATTGTTTGTTAACTTGGGGAAACGGTGCATAATATAATTACGTATGTGCTAATTTGCATAAATACCACAACAGATCTAAACATTGGGTATAGCCAGGTGAAAAAATGTCTTGTTGAATCTAGTTGACAATGACATCTTACAGTAAAATACTTAATGTTAAGGTCTGAAGGGAACGCATTTAGGCTACCCATGAGCATTAATACAGATGCAGGAAGAAGTAGCCTTTATTCATATTGCAGAGATGGGGTTCGGGGCTGGGGCCGGATGAGTCTGAGGGAAGAACAGGAGACACGGGTAAGGAGAATGCATGGGTAAAATAAAAAGTGTCTGGATCAAACAATCAAATTAATCCATGTAGGAGAAACAAAAGGAAATCTTTCTTACCTGAGTAACAGTTGAGTGGGCCTTGAATGAATGACTGAATCTCTGCCCCTTATGGGGACATTTGTTTGCCTCTATAGTCTTTTACTGTAAGATGTCAACAAGATTCTACAAGACATTTTCACCTGGATATACCCAATGTTTAGATATGTTGTGTTATAAAATGTCTCTGTCTTTTATTTACTCAGATATGCCCTGTTGTATTATAACTATTAGGCCTATTTCTATTTTTGTAACATGTCCAAAGATTGTAAGATAATATTTGTCTGTATGAGCTGTGATGAGATACCAGTACCACAGTTGTTATTGTAAAAAAAAAATTAAAATGAATAAAAACATTACAAAAAAAGAAATGTTGTGTTATTTATGCAAATTAGCACATACGTAATTAGATTATACACCGTTTGCCCATTTCAAAAAACTTGTCATACATTTTTTGTTTGTCTTGATGTAAGTAATCAACTCAGTAATTTTCATGGTGATATCTAAAGGTCAAAATGTTACCCTATTAACGTGAGAAACAGAATGAATAGGCGTATGAATAGAGTATATTTGGGTCTTTTTCTAAACTTTCCCCTAATGGGATTCTTCGGGGCTTTTTCCCCTTACTCAGGACATATTGAGGATTAATCAGTTGAGTTTGCTTCTGTTGCAATTTGTTCAAGGTTGACCCCCATTTTGGCTTAAAATGAATATTATAGTAACCATAGATGAATATCTATGATAGTAAAGGGCAACTAGAATAATTAAATCAAATATAAACAAAAGATTGAGGCTCCATCAAAACCCTCTGAGCGCCTCCTGCAGGTCCAGTGCTGAACTACAGAAAGTCCCTCAGTTTATCAACAAATAGAAATGTTATCGATATATCATGTTCAAACAGCACATATACACAGTATAAATTCAAAATATTATTATATTAATTTAGAATATATATATATATATATATATATATATATATATATATATATATATATATATATATATGAATAGTACATAAACCATTATCTGAAAAGTTTGTGTAGTGCTTGCAGAACACAATACGGCAGTGTCACAGTTGGCCTGACCCTAACACTTTCCCAGAATTTAAACTCGTCATAAAATGAAACTTGCCATACTCTTTTCTTCTCAATTGTTTGATGTTAATCTGAGTGAAATGGCTTCTTGAACAAGAAAATATGTAGGGCGGAGCTTGATTTTGGAGATGGTCCTTACTGCAGAACACGAAATCCACCTTACATATACCTAATCCTACCCATCTCCGCCCCCTGATCCCTAACCGCACCCCTAATCCTACCCATCTCCGCCCCCTGATCCCTAACCGCACCCCTAATCCTACCCATCTCCGCCCCCTGATCCCTAACCGCACCCCTAATCCTACCCATCTCCGCCCCCTGATCCCTAACCGCACCCCTAATCCTACCCATCTCCGCCCCCTGATCCCTAACCGCCCCCCTAATCCTACCCATCTCCACCCCTGATCCCTAACCCCACCCCTAATCCTACCCATCTCCGCCCCCTGATCCCTAACCGCACCCCTAATCCTACCCATCTCCGCCCCCTGATCCCTAACCGCACCCCTAATCCTACCCATCTCCGCCCCCTGATCCCTAACCCCACCCCTAATCCTACCCATCTCCGCCCCCTGATCCCTAACCGCACCCCTAATCCTACCCATCTCCACCCCTGATCCCTAACCCCAGCCCTAATCCTACCCATCTCTGCCCCCTGATCCCTAACCCCACCCCTAATCCTACCCATCTCCACCCCCTGATCCCTAACCCCACCCCTAATCCTACCCATCTCCGCCCCCTGTTCCCTAACCCCACCCCTAATCCTACCCATCTCCGCCCCCTGATCCCTAACCGCACCCCTAATCCTACCCATCTCCGCCCCCTGATCCCTAACCGCACCCCTAATCCTACCCATCTCCGCCCCCTGATCCCTAACCGCACCCCTAATCCTACCCATCTCCACCCCTGATCCCTAACCCCACCCCTAATCCTACCCATCTCCGCCCCCTGATCCCTAACCGCACCCCTAATCCTACCCATCTCCGCCCCCTGATCCCTAACCCCACCCCTAATCCTACACATCTCCGCCCCCTGATCCCTAACCCCACCCCTAATCCTACACATCTCCGCCCCCTGATCCCTAATCCCACATCTAAACCTACCCATCTCAACCCCTTAGATCTGGATCCAACTCCGCCCCCTGGATCTCGTGTCCTGCAATGGGAGGTGCTACTGTGATTTTGTCCATGATGAATTGATTGAATGGTTGTGGTTTGCAATTTGTGGATCTCATGTGATTGACAGGTTGAGGACAGCCCCGCCCAAATATACGGATTTGACTCAAGCCTAAAGCGCAACTTACTCGAGTAATGTGACGCACTGCTGACATTTCTGCTAGGCCATGATGCACAACGCTACTTCTGATGTCATGAGTTGCGTAAGTTGCCCTTTAGGTGAAAGTAGAGACTGCGTGCGGCCGTTTGGCCGGAAGCTTGAATTTATAGTTTGTAACGTGTTAAATATGGATGTTTTTGATGGATAGATGCACTTTTATCATGGATAGATGCACTTTTATGATGGATAGATGCACTTTTATCATGGATAGATGCACTTTTATGATGGATAGATGCACTTTTATGATGGATAGATGCACTTTTATGATGGATAGATGCACTTTTATGATGGACAGATGCACTTTTATCATGAATAGATGCACTTTTATCATGGATAGATGCACTTTTATCATGGATAGATGCACTTTTATGATGGATAGATGCACTTTTATCATGGACAGATGCACTTTTATCATGGATAGATGCACTTTTATGATGGATAGATGCACTTTTATCATGAATAGACGCACTTTTATGATGGATAGATGCACTTTTATGATGGATAGATGCACTTTTATCATGGACAGATGCACTTTTATCATGGATAGATGCACTTTTATGATGGATAGATGCACTTTTATCATGAATAGACGCACTTTTATGATGGATAGATGCACTTTTATGATGGATAGATGCACTTTTATCATGGACAGATGCACTTTTATGATGGATAGATGCACTTTTATGATGGATAGATGCACTTTTATCATGGATAGATGCACTTTTATCATGGATAGATGCACTTTTATGATGGATAGACGCACTTTTATCATGGATAGATGCACTTTTATGATGGATAGATGCACTTTTATCATGGATAGATGCACTTTTATCATGGATAGATGCACTTTTATGATGGATAGATGCACTTTTATGATGGATAGACGCACTTTTATCATGGATAGATGCACTTTTATGATGGATAGATGCACTTTTATCATGAGCCGCTTTCCGACCAAGTAGTTACAGGAACTTAGTTATAGGAACTGTCCACTTCTAAACAGTTCTAAGAACTACTCTCCCCCAAACTCGGTTTTGCTTTTTGCGTTCGCACTGGCCAAGTGGCCATAGGAACTGGTAGGAGGGGTAAGGGAGTGACGCAAGCACGGCGGCGGCGGCGGCGCCACATACAACAACAACAAACCAGCGTGGAGGAGGCTATCGGAATGTTCCTGTTCTGCCTTGCCGGGACCTTAATAACGGAGTACGAACGGCGGCGTTTAAAGATCTTGAGTTCTGTACAGAGAAACACAGAAGACGAAGGCACCAGCGTAATATGATCTTAAGTAATATGATGGAAGAAGATAGAAGAGCAGAGCGCAGGAGGCAAACAAAACGACGGGTAAGTTTAGCAAGCATTAGCAATTAGCTGGTTGAATGCGTTATGTTTGTCTTAAGTTATGAGTTAGCATAGCCTACATAGGCGAATTGCAACAGACAGTGAAGAAAATGTGTTGACAGTGGGTGTGACTTATAAGTTGAACCAATCAACGTAGACCTAGGGAAAGGGAACTAAAAAAGTCCTCGCTCTAGACTAGGTACTGAAAGAGTTATAGGAACTACGGTCTGAGGAACTAAAAAATCCCTAACTT